CTACCAAAAAACACAAGCCACATGGGTGCATACACATAAATACAAGTACTTTAAATGGACAATCTACCAGGAGGACTAAGAATATGTGGCATGTAAGCTAAATATAACAGTAGAAAAAGGGAAATTTAACTAAAGGCCACTGAAAATAGAGGTTAGCCAAATATACTCAGGCTTTCATTATTGGATTAAATGAACTAGTTAGCATTTACATATAAAGGAACATGTGGTTCTGCTCAGCTTATAAGATAAGGAAACCAATACATCAAAAATCCATCATCTAATAACAAATCAGCAGTAAATTCGCACCAAATAAAAATACAAGACCAGTCTGAATCGCGTTACAATACAATGTCAATCAATTCAAATGAGAAAAGTATCTCCATCATTGACTATACCATCATCGACTATTCCTTGATATATTTATAACAATTCAGGCCTAAATTACTGGATATTGTCATTATGCAAGCATTGGATTAATTCAATTTTTATTTAAGTATCCTTATGCACCCCCGATGCGGAGTCCCCTTAAACCGGTATCATTTTTTACCACAAATCTATGCATGGTTGTCCTCTAACTACACAAAACTGGCCATATATTGCCTTTCACTACAACATTTTATCTGATCGATTTGTATGATCTGATAGCCCCATGGCCCATTTATGTGTTATGTGTGGTCCAGTATTAGACAAGACATGTTTCTGACTGAAATGAAAGATGTTCCTCTATCCTGCAAGGATAGTGTTCCTGTTTCTGGGGAATTAAACATAAGAGAGATGAAAAGTCTCATTTCATGATCTAAAAGGTTGAAGATGAAAGAACAATTTAAAAGCACATAGCAAAACACTTTCATTTCCTTATAGGTCCTATTTGAAAATAGACCATTTTCTCTAGATCTAGAAACAATTATGAGCACGTTGACATGTAGAACTGTTTTAGTTTTCCACATGTGTACTTTTGAGACTTTGGCAAATGAGAAAGAAAAACACAGTTGTACTAATATCTAGGACAGCTCAACCTGTACCTTCGTTTGGTGTATGAGTGTCTTTGCTTGAATTAGAGGCTATTAGTTAGTATTAATATGTTACATCTAAGTAAGTAAATTAACTCTAAAACTAACTTATTATAGATCACAGACGTATAATATGTTTTAAAAATGTAAGAATTAAGTATGAAATGAATTTGATTGACTTTTTTTCACTTAGATGATTAGCAGTTAGAATATTTAAATCAAGATTTGGCCAATGACGTTTACAATAAATATGTACAATTCTCGTGATACATTCCAAATTTTCATGCCCCCGCACCCCGGACAAGTCAGTACAAACCAGGCCTGGCAGACTCTTTGCATTTTTAAGTTTTGTTTTGTTTTTGCAAAGATAAGTTTTGCAAAAAGAGATGCCCGGGGCGGGCGATTGCCACGATTGTGAAGCTTGATGGAGCGTCTCCTAAATGCACTTTTGGAACGCAGTACAGACTAAAATTCTCAATCATAATATATATAATTAAAACCAACTTCCAGACTATATTGAAGTATACTTTCGGTACTATTATTTTACAGCCTTTGGTAATCACCTTGGTGTCATATGGTCTTAAAGGCATTTACTATAAGCTCAGTTCATTTAAGATGTTTTCTAAACAATCCAAGTAAAAAGCCTTTCATTTCATGATAATTTCGTAAATAGCAAATTGTACAAGCTAAAGAAAATGCTAAACTGTTCACTGTTCAGAAAGCCAGTGTGGGAAGAACGCCCCTCTTGAGTATGAGTGGATTTCAAAGACCTTCCCATCCTCCGACCTACTGCTGACTTATACAGCGATCCTAAATGATCTGAGTAATTTTTTCAGTGGCCTTCAGTTGAATTTGCCTGTTTTTACGATTGTGTTTAGCTTAAACGCCTCATAGTCCTGTTGCTATAGTGTTCATTTAGAGTACTTGTATCTATCAGTAAGTGTATGCACCCATGCGGCTTGTGTATATGGTGGCTATTTTCACACATGGTGTTCTGATAACCCCCATACATATCCTCCATATTATTTAGCACAAAGTGAATACACAAAACTAATTTTGAAAGGTAGTTACTAATGGAAATTAGAAATAAGATGTGATAAATTGTGTAAAATCAGTTTAATTTGCTTTTTAAGTATCCTTGTATCCCCCATGTAGAGCCCCAACGAATATTTCTAGTTATTTTTAGCATTTTTCAACAATTGTTCATTGATCCCATGCTGCTGCACAAAAAATGTCCATGATTTACCCCGTAAAGAGACGTTGTTAGCTAATTTATTGTGGTCCAAAACCCGGAAAACCCCCATAAAGACCCTTCGTTCACGGCCCGCGTTATGCGTGTCCCAATTAAACGACACTTGTTCCTGAATCAGCAGATGTTCCTCTTTCTAGCAACGGTAAAACCGTTTATCAAAATTGCCGCGTGACGGAGAAAAGGCTACTTAAAAATTACTAAAATTTAGAAAGATGAAAATTCTGATTTCATTGGTTCTGGTAATCCCCTGGCATACCCTTTTAACTTCAATGTTGCATCTTCAATTTTTGTTTTGTAAAAGTAGAAGACCCATGCTATGTGACAAAAGAAACCCCATGTTCATATCATTTTTGGAATTACCGTGGTGTAATTTCAGTAATTTTCAGACATAAATTGTTAGATTTTTGAGGGTCTCAGAGGGGGGTCCCAGAACTCCATAACGAAAAATAGCTGGAGGGTTTTAACTATATGGCTGTTAATAGTTCCTCATACCTATCTCACATACAAAGAGTGAGCCGATTTGGCCGACCACCATCTTCCGACCTCTGCCTGGTT